TCATCTTCTGGTCGAGGTCATTACTTTGGGTTTATAGGTCCACGTTACTCTCAAAGGGCCGCTCTTCATCCAGGTATATAAATGGTACCAGCACATTAAACCTGGAATGTGAAACTTTAATTATACTAACCATCCTTCTTGATAGCCATGACTTGTACTTCTGTCAAAAGAAGTTCTGTGAATTTCATAGTACATCAAGATGCATACTGAAAGCCGTTTGTTGATGATTTTGTTAATCCTATACTCATTTATAATAAATTGGCGTTTATAATCCATGAAATATTTTAGCTCGGAAGCGATTGGTTTTAGCGCGTCACGTGGCTAGCTGTGCTTTAGCTAAAAACTGGAAAATATCCGTCTCATATTGCCCATTTTGTAAAAGATCCCGCTTGTTGCGAAAAATAGTTGAAGGATACTAAACACAATCGCCTCAATTTGACTTTGAAAATATACTTGGACATTATCTATTCCTCAAAGTTCCGAGTTTTCGTTTATCGGAAGAGATCCGCGGGCAAACATCCGCGCAGATTTTCGCGCCTAATAAAGGCTATTATTTGTTTAACCCTATTTAGCTTAGGCTTTAATTCGCTCGTTGGCCTTGGGGCCTTTTGGAGGAGGGGGAGTGGTGCTTTTTGAACTCCCTCTATGTAGCTCTATGTATTTCCAAAGGTTCTTACACACTAGTAATCAAACTTACATGGCGAGTAAGGCATCCAAACGCATTTACTTTAGAGACAATCTCGTGTAATCATGACGTCACTTAACGCCCTAATGACGTCATATTTAAAAATCTCCGCCATCCTGGATCCGCCTAGCCTCCCACGCAGACGCTCTTAGGGCTCGTCACGCCTGACGAACGCCTGACGAGCCCTAAGAACGTCTGCGTGGGAGACTAAGATCGACCATGTTTTATTTGAAAACCTTCGCAAATGCAACTGCCAAAACAGCTCCAAAATTGCTTCAAGAAAAGTGGAGAATATATGGAGGGCTTGGTATTAAAATCTTTATAAAATCGAAAATCACACTTAAGGTGTCATGGTGGTGACTTTTTTACGACAAATGCGAAAAATCTTTTTTTTTTTTTGCTGTTCAAATTGAGAAGACTGAAATAAATATTTTGGAAAAAGACTGGGAAAAAAGGCTTTTTTACTTTTAAGACACTAAGCACACTAGTGCCGCGTTGCCAAAAAATCAACACACAAAACTGCTCTAAGATAACTTTAGGAAAAGTCGCAAAGTTAAAACGGTATGCCCTTCCCCCAGGTGAAAAAGGATTAACTGAAAATAAGATGTCCATCACTTTCCGAAACTAAAGAGTTATCAGTGATTTTCCATCCTACTTCAATCATTCCAATCCATACATAGCAGGCCAGGCCTCTGCGGCAAGTAAAAAATACTGCAGCCGTGATAAGATTGGGTAGATTTTTCCTACCTCTCACCATTCCTTGCTCGGCTTAGTCCCTAACAAGCCTTCATCTCACCCGATGCAAAGATAACGACCAGCTGAGATCTCATGATTTTTTTTCTCCTATAAGTGGCATCTCTTTAGCTCTCTATAAAAATGGTTTAAAAACTAACAAAAACTTGAATTAGTTCTAACCTACTTTATTGCAAACAGTTTTTCTATTTGCACGCTTATATTCTGTAACGGCTATATAATTTGTTTGTAACGTGTTCATCTTTTACATCACGTTAGAGGGATTAAAACTTGATTGATGAGGTTCGTTATATAAGTCTCTCTCATCTAATATTACAATTGTGGTTTTTGATTTTTTGGGAGGTCAAGAGAGAAAATAGAAGATCAAGGTAAGAGAGTTAATCCCCATATTGGCCTTAACCTAAGGTAGGACGTGGTACCCAGTTATTTTGCAGATATAACTCGCGCGTTGTCTGGATTTGTACGTGAAGGAGACGTGAAGGATGCAATAAGACCCAAAAATGGCGGACCGTGCGTCTTAAAAACGAAAATATTCGAATTGCCTGAAGTTTCAAACGCCAAATCAAAGACAGTTTCTAAACGTAGCGAGTACTGAAGCTCCTTTGTTTAGATAACAAAGAAGACATCCGCACATCATTGGAGGTTTCCCTTCGCCTTGTGAACAAAATACGAACAAACGCTTTCATGGAAAACTGCTTGGGCTGTCCACGCATCGCGCGAGTAACATCCGCAGAAGAACTGGGTACCAAGATAAAAGCTAACCTGCGATGAAGCGTTTTTTCTTTTCGCGGGAAGAGGAAACCAAAAAAACAAAGGAAAACGCATGATCGCAGGCTACTTATGAAGGATTACCTTGGGTATAAGGCCTGTATGTGGTATTAATTATTAGCTTGATCTTCTCGTGGCTTGAGAGAAAAGTGATATGGTTAAAGGCGAGAAGCGTAGCTGCCCAATTTCTGCCCATTTCCGTTCACACACCATTGCCTTAGTAAACTAATTTACGCTTACTTAAAGTGGAATGGTCCCCTAAAATGGACCAAAAAGTTTGTCTAAATATGGTGAAGTAAGATCAATTGGGCCCGATTGCACCCATGAAGAGAAAATAAATTTTGAAGGTTTTACTGAAAATGGTTGCTATGGCAACCAGCCACAGCCTTTTGAGGTTTTAGCCTATAGCATTGACGCCAACAGTTCTTGCTCTTTTACAAAACAAGATTTGATTTTCAAACAAGCATATCTTGTACGTTACTGTTCCGTTCTATGTAATAAACTAAAGTTTTCACAGTTAATTCTTGTTTTCTGTGCTTTCTACAGGCTTTATTTGCAAATAACCTTATTTTGCACCAAACCCAGCTACATCGGCATGTTCCTCGCCGAAAATCTTTTTCATGATGATCAGTGCCTTCTCGTAGTATTGTTTTGCTTCATTGTACTGTCCAAGATTTTCATGAACAATTCCCAAGTTGTCATAGCTGCCTGCTACATTGGCATGTTCCTCGCCGAAAATCTTTTCCTGATGATCAGTGCCTTCTCGTGGTATTCTTTTGCTTCATTGTACTGTCCAAGATCTGCATGAACAGTTCCCTAGTTGTTATAGCTTGCTGCTACATCGGCGTGCTCCTCACCGAAAATTGTTTTCCTTATAATCAGTGCCTTCTCGAGGTATTGCTTGGCTTCATTGTATTGTCCAAGATGTCTATGCGCCTTTCCCAAGTTGTTATAGCTGGCTGCTACATCGGCATGTTCCTCGCCGAAAATCCTTTTCCTGATAATCAGTCCCTTCTCGCGGTATTCTTTCGCTTCATTGTACTGTCCAAGATTTCCATGAACACTTCCCAAGTTGTCATAACTGGCTGCTACATTGGCATGTTCTTCGCCGAAAGTCTTTTTGCTGATGATCAGTGCCTTCTCGTGGTATTGTTTTGCTTCATTGTACTGTCCAAGATTTCCATGAACACTTCCCAAGTTGTTATAGTTCGCTGCTACATCGGCATGTTCCTCACCGAAAATCTCTTTCTTGATGATCAGTGCCTTCTCGTGGTATTCTTTTGCTTCACTGTACTGTCCAAGATCTGCATGAACAGTTCCCAAGTTGTTATAGCTGCCTGCTACATCGGCATGTTCCTCACCGAAAATCTTTTTCTTGATGATCAGTGCCTTCTCGTGGTATTCGTTTGCTTTATTGTACTGTCCAAGATCGGCATGAACAGTTCCCAAGTTGTTGTAGCTGGCTGCTACATCGGCATGTTCCTCACCGAAGGTTTTTTTCCTTATGATCAGTGCCTTCTCGTGGTATTGTTTTGTTTCATAGTACTTTCCAAAAACGTTATGAGCACATCCTAAGTTGTCATAGCTGGCTGCTACATAGGCATGTTCCTCGCCGAAAATCTTTTTCCTGATGATCAACGCCTTCTCGTAGTATTGTTTTGCTTCATTGTACAGTCCAAGTTCTTCATGAACACTTCCCAAGTTGTTATAGCTTGCTGCTACATCAGCATGTTCCTCGCCGAAAAACTTCTTCCTGATGATCAGTGCCTTCTCGAGGTACTGCTTGGCTTCATTGTATTGTCCAAGATCTCTATGCGCCTTTCCCAAGTTGTTATAGCTGGCTGCTACATCCGCATGATCCTCGCCGAAAATCCTTTCCCTGATAATCAGTCCCTTCTCGTGGTATTCTTTCGCTTCATTGTACTGTCCAAGATTTCCATGAACACTTCTCAAGTTGTCATAGCTGGCTGCTACATCGGCATGTTCCTCACCGAAAATCTTTTTCCTGATGATCAGTGCCTTCTCGTGGTATTCTTCTACTTCATTATACTGTCCAAGATGTACATGAACACTTCCCAAATTGTTACAGCTGGTTGCTACATCGGCATGTTCCTCATCGAAAATCTTTTTGCCTATGATCAGTGCCTTCTCGTAGTATTGTCTTGCTTCATTGTACTGTCCAAGATTTCCATGAAAACTTCCCAAGTTGTTATAGCTGGCTGCTACATTGGCATGTTCTTCGCCGAAAGTCTTTTTGCTGATGATCAGTGCCCTCTCGTGGTATTGTTTTGCTTCATTGTACTGTCCAAGATCTACATGGACATTTCCCAAGTTGTTGTAGCTTGCTGCTACAATGGCATGTTCTTCGCCGAAAATCTTTTTGCTGATGATCAGTGCCTTCTCGTAGTATTCTTTTGCTTCATCGTACTGTCCAAGATGGTTATAAACAATTCCAAAGTTTTGATAAGTTTGTGCTACTTTGTAATGATGTCCACCGCAAATTGCTTCATAAACTTTGCTAGCCTCTTCATGGTATGATATTGATGATTTATGCTGGCATATCATTGATAATGTTGACCCGTGGGCAGTAAAGACATCTGCTTTCATTAAGTCGCCCTCTCTTGTGTTACTTGCATATTGAGCAAAGTCGCAGGCTGACGTGGAAAAGAGAATTGCATTTGATGGATTGCTAAGGCCAAGACATACATAGGCAGTTAAACAAAGCCACGAAATGACCTTGTCAGGAGTGATAAAGGGTGCTAACTCCAAAACATCTTTTGCAGTAAAATTGTCAGTAAGAATTTCATAAAGCGCTTTGCAGTGGGTGGTAATCCTACGTAACATTAAGTACACGTGCCCACTTTCATGCAAACGATAATGCTTCGACTCAATGAGAGAGTGAAAAACCTGAATCGCTACAGATATGCACTGAAGTTTCTCTGTGATGTCAAAATCTAACGTGGACATTTTCCTGAGAATTTTATAAACAACGTTATGCATTCTTACATAGTCGGATGCTCCATCTTCACTGTACAAACACGTAATCAAGGAGGATTTTAAGATCTTTGCCCTGATTAATTCTTCGGTCTGTCCCGAAGAGCGAACTTTGACAAAGTTAACAGCTGCTTCAACTGGGAGAGAGTCGGAGCCACATAGCGAGAAAAATAGAAATGTCTGTCGAATTACTTCATCGATTTTCAAAGTGCTATCTATTGCCATTTCGATTGCCGTAGTCA